TGAAACATGCTTTTTATGATACCTATTTACTTGTTATGCATACAATGTTTGTTTCTTTATATGCTAGTTTTCTCTCAAATAAAGAGGGAATATATACCAGAATTTTCAAAGGAAAATTCTGTAGAAAATTCATACTTAGTTTAGTCTCTATTCATTGGTACTTCTGAATCAGAATCAAAAGGTTTTCTCTGCCCCTAGCAGAGACGTAATTAAGGGAATATCTACGTGATTTCCCGAATGGAGATTACCCAAATAACAAAATAACCCAGTAATTAGTCTAATTGGGTGAGTTATGTTATGTGAGAAATTATACTAAAAAAAAAAATTCTACTAACAAAGAGTTCTTCTTTTTTTGTATCCTAGGGATCATTCCATCCAAAGGAAATCTCTTGAACTAAGTTTAATCCTAATATCCTTGCTCTGATTCCATGTCAACCTGTAGGCAAGAAAAATAAATAAAGCAGAAAATAATAGAAAGAACAAAAGGAAGAAGAACATCAAGATGTGTGTTAGTCTCAGTAGCCTACATCCATGAGTGAAGAGGGAAAATATTCACTATGAGAAAATAGGATACACCAAATCCAATATCCACCTCACAATAATATGCCTGCTTTCTTTTTCACCCTGTCTCAAACAATTGCTTGAATATGCCTAAAACTGAATTTTGCTAATAACTATGCAGCCAAATCCCTTGTCCTCATAATTATAAAATTGTCCCATAAAACTAAAATTACAATAAAACTCTTACCTTGCCATAGAATAAAAAATCTTTTGCAAGAACTTTGACGCATACCTATGAAAAGGATTTTAAAGTTGGGAAACCTTCAAAAACTTCAGGCATATGCTATGTGAAGGTAGAAGCTACTGTCTTTTCCTGTTATATCCTTATGGGCATGTAAACTAAATTACTCTCACATGTTCATGGTTTGCACTATCATCTGTTTCCACGCATTGGTTTCCCAGTGGGCAACATGTTTGCAACTGTGCTTGGAAATATTTTAATTATCTTCTGTCATTAATGGTCACAAACTTATCTTTTTGCAATTGTTGCAGACTAGTCAGGAGCATTTGGTAGCACATATCCTTCCATTGCTTGTTCGATCTTATGATGATAATGATGCTCGAATACAAGAAGAAGTTTTAAAAGTAACTATATCCCTTGCTAAGAAACTTGATATTCAGGTGACTGACCTTTTCTCAATGATGAATTTTTTGCTAAACTAATTTATCATTTTTTTTCATTGTTTTCTTCAGAAACTGTGCTATCTTTATGCTTCTTCACAAATATCCTGAAATTAAAGAATCCCTTAGTATATTATCAAGCAATTAAGGCACAGAAGTATTTGCTTTATGGTGTTGCCATTTATCTATAGACATTTCACTGATCTGCTATGTCCATCTAGGATTATGAACCATATATGCATCTATAATTCAGTAATATGATAACAATCATGTTATGTAAACACATTGAGGCAAAATTCCCGGTTTCCAGATTAAAAACTTTTTCAATGGGTTCCCATATTGGTTAATATTGCCTCAGATAGTCTTGCTCGGAAGGGAGATACCAAGTTTTCTCTATTTGGAGTTTTATTTTTGTTGAGTTTTGGGCTGATGTAACATGTTTTTTATTTACATAGCATAGTTAGGGAGTTATTGGGCCTTAGGCCCGTTAGTTTATGTTTCAAGTTAAGGGTGTTTTTAAGTTCTCACAAGTAGCCAACTTACCAAGGGCATACTTGTCTTGGTACTCTCTTTTATTTATGAGTATATAATCTAATGAAAGGGGCGGCCAGACCTATTTCTAATCTTCTCCCATTCTCTTCTATCTCTCACCTCTCTCTTTCTTAGCTGAAACCTTTTCTCCTCTTTCTTTTCTTCTTTCTTTTGCAGTTTTTATATCAAAACAGGTTGTCCAAACCTTTTTACTTGGCATCAGAGCAAGTTTAAACATTTCTTGAGTTGCTCCATCATGCAGCCCTAGATCGGCCAACTGCATGATAAGGTAAAGGGCTGATCAATGACTTTAGGTTAGCCCAGTTTTTGGATTTTTTGGTGGAATTGCAATCCCTTGTAGATGGTCTAGGATTTTACACCAAAATCAGGAAGAACTGGAGAAAGGGAGAGAGTCCTATTTTAGTAGGACTCTTCAATTTTGACCTAGGAAGTGGCACTCTAGTTTTCTAGGGTTCCTTGAGGTTTTCTGAAGGTGGTTCAAATACCAGCATTTTTGGAGGTCGCTGGAGGGAGCGACAGCCTCTTCTCCCACTCCCACGGAAAAAGGAATCTTTGGAGGGAGGGACTTCTAGGGTTCCAGGAAGGTTATGGAGAGTTTTGTTGTTATGGAGGGACTTCTAGGGACTTCTATGGACTTCTATGGTTCCAGCCTTCTTTTTCATCTCAAATTGATTTCCTAACCTATTCTGAGAGTTATGGAGGGTTTTGTAGTTGAAAACAAATTTTCAAGAGAAATGGGATCTAGGGGAGGAGGTGTTGGAGACTGTAGAGAAGATGGGCCGAATGGCCCATAGGCTGTTTATTCTTTCTTGTTATTTATGTTTTTCTGTAATGGGCCTTATTCTGGGCCCATCCTGTCTATATTAAGTTCTTTGTAAATTCTTGCCCAACTAAGGGCCTCCTTGTAATTATTCAAACCTATCTTAATAAAATAGTGTTAGGGTGCTGAGAGAGAGTAGGTTCGAAACTCTCTTTCTCAAACCCTCATTGTCGAACT